GTTCTGGGATTCTCTGGGCAGAATGGAATTTACTTTTACATTGACAAGAATGCAGTGCAGGGCTGGGGATGTGGCTCAAGCGGTAGCGTGCTTGCCTGGCATGCGGGCGGCCTGCGTTCGATCCTCAGCACCACATACAAAGATGTTGTGTCCACTGTGAACTGAAAAATAAATATTAAAAAAATCTCTCTTTAAAAAAGAAAAGAATAAGATTATTTTCTGATGAATTTAACTTTTCAGTTAACTGATAGTAGGAGTTTGGAAAATTATCTTCTTTAATTTGGTTTTCAACTTTCTTAGTAGGAATCCATTGTTGATGTTTTTATATTCCTCTTATAATGGCTAGTCTTCTCCTACATGTTTAGGTAGAATTAAGCATGGTCTTATTTCTGGAAATAGAAAAGAGAAAAGGATTTATCATATTTGAAATCCTAACCATAAGAATCCTGGGAAACAGGATTGATATCCCTTTTGCATAGATGAGGTAAACCAGACTTAAGACAGGTTAAGCAGCTTTCTCAAGGCCACACAATTATAGGTAGCAAAACCCAGTTCTGTCTGATTTCAAACACAATTAATTGTCCTCACACTGATAAATGTGTAAACATATTGCCTTTTCTTATGAAATTATTTGTTCCTATAGATGTGATGATATTTTTTTCTAACCAATTTTATTTTTTATACAAAATAATTAATTACATATGAATGTCTTTATTTTAAGTAATATCTGAGGAGTCTTCAAAGTTACTGAATGATAAGAAAATACTACTAAATTTGTTCTTATTACAGACTGATGACATTAGCAGACCAATGTATTTCTCCAAAACCAAAGTTTACTTCAAATTCAAAATCAGGTAATAGTGAAATGAATTATTTTCATGTCTTTTATTTTGTTACAGTATAACTTATACTAACAAAATAATTACCCCAGGAAATTGAGGGCTTTTTAGCATGGTTGTATTTAAGAAATAGATATGTAGGGTCTTGACTCTCCCTAAAACACCCATCATTTATCCATTTAATAAATATTTACTGATTATGTCCTCTAAGGCATTATTATGTATACTAATGGGAAGTGACATGCTTTCCCTGCCCATGTAAGTTTCAGTACTAAAAAAGGACAATAAGAAAACTGATATATTGTGGTTATATGAGATGATTGAAAAATAATGGGATCAACAAAGTGTCTTGCATATTTGGCACTTTGTTATTTATTTTATTATTAGAATAAACATTAGCATGACATTTACATCCTATTAACTTCTGCTATATATTAGGTTTGTATTATAATTTTTTCCTGTAACAAGTTTTATTGTGTCTCTTTGAGAGTATGCATATAAGAAATGCTGGTTGTACTTTTGATGGATGTAAGTTCTTGTATGGACTAAAAATATATTTTTATTTGTATAGTCTTCACTTTAAGAAGTTGTTTTAATGAGAATTTACTAAATGCCAGTCATCATTTTAGGAATATTTAGCTAGAACTGAGGACAGTGTCATTTGTGGAAGTGTAAAAAGAGAAAAGGATATTGATTTTAGTAAGTTTTCTCTTATATTTAAAATTTATATTCTAAGTATAAAAATGATTAAGATCATTTCTGTTGTTAGCAAAATTAGTCTAGTAATAAAAACTAAACTTGTAAAAGTACAGATCCTGAAAGGAGTAATAGTAAGGGTAAATATTAAGAGACTTTGTTGGGCTGGGGGTTGTGGCTCAGTGGCAGAGTGCTTGCCTGTCATGTGTGAGGAACTGGGTTCAATTCTCTGCACCGCATATAAATAAATAAAAAATAAAGGTCAATCGAAAACTAAAAATACATTTAAAAAAAGAGACTTTGTTTTATAGATTTAAGTGTAAGGGAATGTGTGAATAATAGAAGTAATGAAAGGGAAAATGATAGATACCAATACAACCATGATTTTTCCTTGGTCTTGGCAAATCAAATATATTGCTTTGGCAGTAGAAAATATTGTTTATAAAGCATGGGGATAAGGCAGAGTAGTGATTCTGGAATAATGTATGCTTTTGTATTTACTTTTAAGTGTTGATTAACTTGAAATTTGCAATTAAATAAATCACATCTTCATAGACATTTTTTACACATTCCTTAATTCAACAAATCCAAATAGGTCTCATTTTTTTAACGGCTCTTTAGATTAAGTGTTAGGAAATTGAGAAATTATTGTATTCCTGCCCCTAAGAACCTGTAGTCTAGTAACAGAGACAAACAAAAAATTACTTCCCAGGCAACTCCTGCTGAGGCTCCTTTGCAATCTTATCTATTGCTGTTAGTCTTTAAGTATGGAAAATTTTCATAGCTAGCTCCATCTCTTTTTAACCTACCACATGATGTGTAAGTATAGACATTCTGGCCTATAGGCAGGCTTTCTAAGTGTTCCCTCAGCCTAACTCTCCTCTGAGGTTCAGACCCTTTTATGCAGCTGCCTTCTGGATATATCCTCTTGGTTGTTTCAGAGGCATCTCAACTCGCCATTCAGTTCCCTCAGCAAATATTAAGTACCTACAATGTGACACAAACTATTTTAGCTGCTGGGAAACATCACAAGGTTCTTGCCCAAATAGAGCTCATGTATAGTAGTGGGAGAAAGATTAAAAAAAAAGATAAACTAATAAATTTATATCATCAGGTATAAATAGAGTAATAAGTGAAAATAAATCAAGGTAAAGAAAGTAACTAGTGTGCTATTTTAGGTAATCAGGATAGGCCTATTTGAGGAAGTAGCATTTATGCAGAAAGAGTGGGCCATGTGCAAATCTAGGGGCAAAAAGACCATGAGATGTGGGATGTGCTTGGCATGCTTGAGGAAGAGGAAGAGATTAATGTGGCAGAAGTAGAGTAAGAAGATGAGTAGTTAAAATTGTGGTCAGAGAATTAGTCAAGTAGTATAATGTAAAATCTCACATGCTGTGATAAAGACTAAGGATTTTATTGTGAATGTGTGTTAAACCATATTAGTGCAATGGGAGGATGTGATCAGGTATATATTTTAATTTTTAATTTTAAGTCACATCTTATTTTAATTAATTTAGATTTAAATAGCCTCATGAGACTGGTGCCTACCACATTGTAAACCACCATTCTAGGGTATATATCTTGTGGTGAGGTGAGAAATAATCTAAATATCTGGAAGACTGCTATTTCTCACTGATCTAACCGTTAAAACCACCTCCTCAGGGGAGAAAACTCCAAGCTGAAAAAACTCCCAAGTTTCCAACAGCCTTTGGGTCCTATGCACCTATGTTAAATGTTTCTATGGTCTTGATGTTTAAAGTGGTATTATTATTCGATGTTCTAAATACTTAGACATATGTTAAAATTATCACTCTGGCTTCCACATAGAGAACAGGCAAAGGGGAAGAATGTAAACAAGGAGAGCTTGTTAAACTATTGCCCTGGTCAGATAATAGTCTCATACTAATATAGTGGTAGTAATCATTTGAAATCTATTCTAAATACAGATGTGCCAGGATTTTCTGATTAATCTGGATATTAGGTGAGAGAGAAAAATAGAAGTATAAGGTAAATATTAAATTCTTGGCTTGAGCAACTAGCCACTATATGAATGGTGTTACTATTTATTGAGATGGGATCAATATAGGGCAGAGTAAGTTGGGAGAATGATGAAGAGAGCTTGTTTTAGACATTAAATTTGATCTGTTAGCTTACTCACATATTTGCATGAAAGAATATTGGCACAAATATGTACATATGTGTAATTCTACATCTTTGTTTCCCAAATACAGCAAGTCTGGTGGCTAATCATTCATGCCATCTTCATCACCCATGGTAAAAAGAAGTAGGTGGGTTTGAGAGTTCTATAGGAGATAAAACTGGTGCCAGGATTTTACAATTGGATAGATAGAAAAGTAACAAAAGGGAGTGTTGAGGATCACTCCCAGGTTTTTGGCTAATTTGCTCAAATTGGGACCAGATTACTGATGTGACAATTCTCAGTCCTCAATTCTCACTTTATTTAATCTCTTGATTACTTTTGTAATTCCACTTACTTTAAGTTTAAGAACAGGCAAGATTATAGAAGTCAGAATATTGGTAATCATTGGAAAAGGGGTGC